ATTCATCGAAGAGATTTGATCGCTCCAAAACGTTGATATCGTTTAAAGACCCAGGTAAACCAAAAAAAGAGTGCCAGATCCAGAGGTTTTGAGTCGCCACCGCCTCGAGAACAAGAGTTGGAGAACCAGAACGGCCAGCGTAATGACCTTGCAGAGCTCTGGGGCAATTTTTCCATTCCCAATGCATGCAGTCGAGTGAGCCGAGCATACCAGGGAATCCTCTCACAGCATTTTCGGCGGTGATTTTATTGATGTCATCGGCGGTGGGTTTTCTTTGATAGTGAGGACTGAACAATTGGATGATGCCACTGCAGAAACGAAGGAGACAATCGATGGCGGTGGATTCCCCGATTTGCAAGTACTCATCTTGTTGATCGGCGGAAGTACCATATGCGAGCTGACGAACGGCGGCAGTACACTTCTGGTACGGAGAAATTCCTGCTTTACTTAGTGGGTGGTTGGTAAACGTCAGCACTACTGAACCGGCAGATCAGCACTGAACTGAACAGGCAGAGCAAAACCAAAGGGACCTACCAACAGCATCACTGCGCTGGGTAAAGTAGACATCATGTTTGCCAAGAGTTTCCACGATTCGAACAAACAATCGACGGCTCATTCTGAAACGACGACGGAAAAGGCCTTCGCCATAGACAGGAGTGGGACCAAAATAATCCTTCATGAGCCTGGCATGGCCCTCCTCAGCATTGCGAAGTAAGTTGGGGGAACGGCCGGGGCGAGATCCACCTGGACCCTTCGATTCTTCTAATGACAACACCAAACTCAGCATATCTGAGTTATAGGTGGATAGCGGCGAGAAAACTTGAGCACGAAGCGAAGAAGCAACCTGGTATTGAGCGAGAAACTCTACTACGTTGACAGTCATTGTGATAGCAAATAAAGGCAATGGGCAAGGGAACTTCAATGTACTATATACGGGAAAAATTAATAGAATAGGATACACAGGAAGGTAGGATAGGAAGGGTGAGTTGAAGTCCAATCAAAGGTTGAATATATATCTTTTGACGACCTTGAATCCGCGCTCAAATAACACGGCTCGGCTATCTTTTGATCCCGATGGCGGATCTGAGCTAGTTCATTATGCGCTCTATGTACCCATGGATCTTCAGAAGAAGGGCTACCTTGATAATTGATCGAGCGTGCTATATGCACGGCCTATCGAACACAAAACGGTGAGGGAGGCATGAACGAGGTTGTACGTAGTTGATTGGTCACGTTTGGGTAATTTTGGATGTGGATGACGAGGGTTGAACAGGACCCAGGAATGCCCCTATAAAGGGTAGTGATCTGGATAAGTGCTTTTACAGTACCCTCGGAACTCCGGTCCTGCAAAAACACTAAGTCTTTCCAGGTCTAAACCTGGCTTCACCCATAGCTGTAAGAACAGTTTAATCTTTACACAGACTTTTTTGGAGCCTTTCACCTCCTTTGACAACTCCAAATCTGAACGAACCCTCCGGTCTGACATTTGAAACTACACAAGTGATTTAGATTGCAACAACATATCTAAAAAGGGTGAAGAAATTCCCTTTGGCGGCGGCACTTGAAGGCATCAGCAAGGTTTGATGGAATCAATAAGAATCGAAGCAATAAGAATATTTGATAAACGATATAAATATTTCTTTGCATTTCCGACAATCCTGGTCTCTCTTCAAGCTAGCTTGATCAAGCTTGTCACTGGCCTCACACACTGACACTCAACCCAAGATGTCACAGGTTTAAGAGGATGGCAATAATCAAAATTATAATTGGGCAGAAATGATCAGAGCTGCTCGTATCCCATGAATGGTGACGCCGCGGGTACTGTAAAAGCACTTATCCAGATCACTACCCTTTATAGGGGCATTCCTGGGTCCTGGTTGAACCTCAAAATGACCCTATGGGGAATTCAGAAATAAGTACAGCTACGCGCTGCAGGGCGCTGTCAGCTGAAAAAAAATACAGCTGTCCAGCCGAGGAAAAATATGCTCTGTACAAGTTTTCGGATTTGGGAACATTGGAGATGCTCTCAGTCAGAGTTCTCTAGTTTTGCGTAAGATTACAAAAGTTATAAGAGCATCCACAACGGTCCACCTACTTTGCGGGCCCCCAGCGATGTAGGGGGTCAAAACGCAAAAAAACGCTCCAACGGAGCTCGCACAATCGGGGGTGAGACGTCGGGGGCCTCCAGATTTCCATCCGGACCCCCCACATCTGCGAGGTCTATAGGGGCTCCCGATATCACGTGCCACTGCTTCCACGTGACCGATATAGTCACGTCTCAAACCGCACTCGAAACAAGATGATATGGTACAAGCATACCATATCACTCAATCGAGTTCTGGCCCCTGACTTCGAGTGCACCGCTGTGGACACCTGTTTTTTTGACCCCCTACATCCACAAAATCAGGATCGGGGGTCTGTTCCAGGGCTCGCAAAGTAGGTGGACCGTTGTGTAAGATTACAAAAGTTATAAGAACGTCTTCAACATATCCTTCATTCCCTCTCACACCAAAACTTACTAGATTGCCATGCTATTCTTCAAAGTTGTCATTGCTGCTGTTCTAGCTGGTCAACGAATCCACATGGGTCCATGTCTCTCTTCATACTCAATCTTACTCAATCCTCTATTTATTCTTATAGCCACAATCCCCGCCAGCCTTGTTCAAGTTGACCAACCGTGAGCAAAGCCTTAACATCGTTCTTTGTGTTGTTGCAATTGCTCTCAGAAACTTTACCTAACACCTGACTTGCTTGATCTCAGTGTCACTCGTGACGTCCTACAACGACGATTTGTAGAGTTCACTCCCTTCATGGAAAAGAGATCGTAAGTGAACGTTACGACCATCAACTCTCGTTACGCTACTCTCGTAGATCGTTTGACTGATTGATACGATATCTGTCTACACAAAACACATCTCACTCCAAAAGTCTCCCCCCTGCGCCCGACCCCAATGCTTTCAAACCCATAGCTCCGCTGCCGTCTCCCCCAACCTGCGAGCCATGTGAGGAAGGCTGTTGTTGATAATCTGTTAGATGTCAATGCCACCAACGTATGTGGCAAGTTCAGGAGGGCTATATGTGACGGTAAACGCAGAAAACGCAGACCGTTTATCGAAACAATTTGTTATTATTCTCACTATTTGTTTTTAAGAAATAAAAGTCTTTTTGTAAAGTTCTATTCTTAAATCATTGAGCTTTAGGAAGACTCTTCAGAGATTCCGGATCCTGTAACTTCGTAGTTGTGACGGATTCTTAAATACAAGCTTGGCCAGCACATTTCGTTTCGATGAATGCAACAATTTCTTTCCTCCAGAAGATTCTCCTACGCATTCGTAGCCATTCATTGCACCAGTTTATTTTTTGTACGCCAGCTGATTTGTAAACCAAGTGATACTATGACAATAGTTTCCCAACTCTGGTAATTTCTCTTTAAAAGTTTTGCTACTCGAATTGTTCTGAATCGATGGAAATTGTCAATGTGAAATGTATTTGTCTACTCTTCCTATGGGCAATCTTGATTTGATCAGGGTGCCAGTTCACTTACAGTTGATCTGATGAACTGACTGAAGTCATGTTCTCCTGAGAATCCGATATAGATTTGATAGTCTTTAACTCCTAAAATGAGAACTTGGGTACATAAACCCAGGCTTAAAGCTTGAATTTGAATTTCGATCAGATTCTTTAACTGATCGATTTCATTTCACAGCATCAGAGCGGTATCAAACTTTTTCGATTTCCAAGTTTCCTGTTTACCAATCTCAACTTCAAATCCATCAAGCATCAAACCATTCTCATCGATTTCAATGAACAACGACCATCATCAACTCAACTTTCCACCATCAACTAATACTCAAACTACCTCATCATCATCAAACTCATCTTTATCATTGAATCCTAATCTGGATCCACCTCGTACAGATGAAAACATGTTGGTATCATTAATCTCTGAAAAAAAGCCATTCTGATTCATAACTAATTCATTCATAAACTGTTTCATTAATTCGAACGAATCATTCAATTTGATCAACGAACATTTCAATCATCTGAAAACAAATCATCATATCAAACTCTAAAGTTTCCTTTTTGTTCCGAACCTAATAGGTCAGTCTCTTTTCATCATCAGCGACAAAGAAACCCCCCGATTTCAACCGTTACTAATCTTCAATGAAATTCATCCAATAGGTTATTCTCGAATCATTCTAGCAGCAGTTTCATTACATTATATGTCATATCATCCAAAGTATTGTACAATTGCATATTTGATTTCACAACTTTTGGATGCAGTAGATGGTCAAGCTGCTAGGGCTTTGGGACAAACTAGTAGGTTTGGTGCTGTCCTGGATATGGTCACCGATCGGTAAGTTTTTTTCCATTCCATTCATCTTCACATCAGCACAGATTCTGAACTTTTGATTCTTCTTTTTGAAATCCATCATCATGATCATCGAATTATAATTATGGTCTGAGTT